AATCATACAGTCACACTAATTTTTATTCGTACAGTACAAGATAGCGTTTTCGTACAGTACAGTTTATATGTATACTCTAATTTTATTTAAGATTTTTATTATAGAAGTTCTGCACTGTAATAATTTCCACGTGTAAATAATAAATTATTCCGTTTGTGTTAATTGATCTTCCCTAACAGATTAGGTACTGTTTAGATTGATAATGAATAATTTCGACTTTTTTGAAGTAAAATTTGGCAATTATTCCATTCCTGGGTTCAATAATAATTCAACTAAACCACCACCACAGCAACAAAAACCACAACAACAACAACAACTACAACAAAAAATTACTTTGAAACCAAAATCATTATCATCATCACAGCCACCTTCAACATCATTAAAATCCACACTTCCACCAGATTTATTACTTAGAATCCTTAGGAATCTTCCTATTACTTCTATTCCAAGTTTTGCTCGAGCATGTCGTAGATTTAAAGTTTTAGTATATGATGATGAACTATGGGAACATCACTTGAAAACCATGGGAGTACGTATAAAATCCGATAATAAAATTGATCTTAAGAGTAAATCTTTAGACGATATTTTTATGAATTCAGAAAAACAATATTTTGAAAAAATAGCTAAGCGTACATCTGAATCTCATGATAATATCACTAATAGAGGTAGAGATAAAGGTAGAGACAGAGACAGAGACAGAGACAGAGATAGAGATAATCGAGAGTCATATACCAATAGAATAGATAATAGAGAGAATAAAGAACGAGTGAATAATGAGAGTAGAGAGAACAGAGAGTCATATATTAATTATTATTGTGGCGAGAAATTATTGGGATCACAAGAAACATTAAAAACATTGAGTATGATTCCTGGTTTACCGTTAGATCCATTTCTTTCCCAAAAATCATGGAAAACATCTACTGGAATAGCTAAAGATACATTTAAAAGGATTTATATAGAATTAATTCCATATTATTTTGAGTTTAGAAATAGAAGAAAAGATAGTCGATTATTTAAAGAATTTATTGATCCCACACAACAAGCTAAAATGTTGAAAAGATTAACAATGTTTGGAAAATTAAATATTAGTATAGATTCTGATCAAGTAATCTTTATTTCTTTAGATTTCTTTTTTCTTTTTTTTAGATTTCTTTTTAGATTTCTTTAAGTTTTGTTATATTATTATTAAATTTTTTTAATTTTATAATTTCTTTAGATCAATAATGCTCTTGTGACCACTATTGAATATTTTGAAAATTCTTCACTTCATAATTTTGAATTAGCATATGATGCAAATAATATAATTGAAATGAAGGTTAGTAAAAATTTGGAATCTATCTATCCATTTTTATTATGTTAAAAAAAAAATCTATATTTAATAATCTATAATAATATTTTAGAAATGGGCTAATATTCTCATATATTTAAATGGAGGTGCATCCTGTATACAAGTATTCATACAAAAAAATCGTATATTCTTTGATTATACGTTTGATGCATTAGACAATTTCACTTCCACCACGTCGTCTTCTTATTCTTATTCTTATGGAGGGGAATTAACTTTTAAGCCAATGTCCGAGTTTTTTAGTCATGTAGAAGATGAATTAGTTAAACAAGCAAGTTTGATAACTCAAATTTTCCCACCGGAAGCAGATGTTTTTCATTCATTTGCTGAACGAGTAATTGAGGATGTGGTAAATAAATCTTGATAATAAAATTTATTATTATTATTATTATTATTATTATCATCAAATTTAATAATTATTATTATTCTCAAGGTTATAGAATACATTTATACCCTTTTGGAAGAAGCCCATAACCTTGATGTTTTCATTTATCTTAAAACTACCACCATAGCACATCTTAATTGTATTCACGTCGCTGAAGTATTATGGAAAAATGCTAAACCGGGTTTAGATAAAATAAGAGCTGAAGACATGTTATATCAAATGTTTGAACCACTTATGAATCAATATTTGTCTGAAGAATTTATTACAGTAAAAACTTTAAGTGAGGAAGAAATTTATAAATGGAATCGAAAGGTGGTGATTTTTTTTTTTTTTAATCGACCAAAAATTTAATTTACAATTAAAAAATGTTAAATTATTTATTAATTAGACTTTAATTTTGGTTTAGTTATTGGATAATACCACTTTAGAACAACAATCATTTCTCAATAATTCTAATCGAGAAGTATATAAACGGAATTATCTATCATCCTTCCGGAAAATTTTAAAGTTATCCACTCCACGATCGTCATCGACATCTTCGTCGAGAAATTCATCGATATTAAATAATACTCCTTTAGATAAAAGAAATAGTGTTACCAGTTTGCAAAGTACCACCACTACCACCACCACTAGTCCTACTACAAGTTCTTCTTCCTCCTTTCATCGTAAAAATAATTCATCTGTCGACACTCAAATATCAGTTTCTTCTTGGAACATTAAATCGGATAAACTTCAACAATTACTTAGTTTAGAAACAGCTTTACAAATAATTCACATAAATAAGGATTCTATACGTAGAATTGGAATATTTGTAGGATATCCGGATAAAATGGGTTATAAAATGTAATTGGGTTTCATTTTTTTTTTTTTTAATATTTTTAATATTTTTTTAATATTAGTTAAATATATAATTCGATGAGATAATTATTGATTGTTGCTCTTGGTTAGTATAGAAACCATCGAAAATGTATTTATTTTACTTCTTCGAATACTTGGTACAAAGCATATTAAGCCAGGATTTGATACGTAAGTATGTTATTCTTAACATATATTTATTTTTCCCTCCATCAATTTTGTTATATTTATATATTTAATCTCTCTATTAGAGCGATTAAACACCTGGGAGACCATAAATCTGATTCTGAAACAAGTTCTCAAAGTTTGGCACCTTTTGTTGAATTTTTTGAATTGGTTCATATTGCAGATCTGATACAACAAATGGTGCAAGTATATTATGATGAAGAAATGGTAAAATTTTTTTTCTTCCTTTTTCTTTGAATTCATTTTTTATTTATTTTTGAATTTATATTTAAAAATGTAAAATATATATTTTTATATTTATATATATATTATTCTACTGACCACGTTTTTATTACTTATTATTATTAATAGAATCGATATATTGATAAAACTGATTTTTTGAATATTTGTAATAAGGAAAAAAAAGCATTTGAAAAGATATTAGACGAAAGCGTTGCTTCTGGTTTAAATAAAGGTATTCAGGTAAATAATTTATTATATACATTATTATTTTTTTTTAAAAAAAAAAAAAGATTAAAATAGATAATAAATTTGAACTTTCTTTTCTTACAGGTGCTTATTGATCATGTGGAATATATATTAGCCACAGTACAGAGACCTGAAGATTTCAGACCACCAATTGATGTACCATTAGATTTAAAACCCACCAAAGCTTGTGTTGAAGCTGTGGAATGTCTTTCAACACATGTTAAATTAGTGATTGGTTGTTCTGATAAACAAACATTAGATGTATTTCTCCAGGAAATTGGACTTAGATTATTCGGGTAAAAATACTTAATTTATTATTATTATTATTATTATTATTATTATATTATTATATATTCATTTATTATATATTCATTATATCAAAGAGTTTTATCAAAGCATCTAAAGAAATTCATCGTGAGTACTCCCGGTGGATTTCAAATCATTAGGTGAGCAATCTTTTTTATATCGTCAAAAAAAAAAAATCGCAAATAATATTTTAAATGTAATATTGAAACTAATTATCGTTCCATCCCTTACATTTTAATGACAAAAAAAAAAAAAAGTGACCTAAATCATTACTGTTCTTTCATCACGACTCTTTGGCAACCCACCATTATTCCACATTTTACTGCTTTAAAAGAACTTGGTAATATTTATATCATTTCCAATGCAAGAGATATTGGATTATTTGTTAGAGAATCGGATCGTTTCAATGGTATATTTTATGCAGAAGATGTATATGAATTTTGTCAAAAGAGAGAAGATTGGATGACGATTAAAAAATCAGTTGAAAAAGAATTATATGGATTAAAAGCTGAGGATTGTGTAATCATGTAACTAATAATAGTAATAATTATAATAATTATGATTTATTTATTTATTTTTGTACAAATTTTGTTTTGAATTTTTTTAATTTTGAATTTTTTTTTTTTTTTAAATTAATTTAATTTTAACTTTATTTATTTATTAATTTAATTATAATTATTTATTTTAATTTTTTTTTTCATGTATTTTCATAAGAAAAGCTAATCTTTTACTCATAGATTCGCATTTTTTTTTATGCGCTAAAATTTAAATTTAAAATTCTAATATAATGAAATCAAAAAAATATCTTGACATTTATTATTTAAGTGATGATGAATTTGGTAATATCAATTTGAAACCACAATGCAAAAGATCTATTATGTAAATTTCAACCAAAAAAATATATATTATAATAATTATCATTTTTTTGCAGGAAAAAATAAAAAGAAATCGAACATTATCAATTTGATAAAGAGGAGGGAATTTTATAAATCGTTTAAAATAAAAAACGGTCGATGAAAAAAATAATTCAAGAAATAAAATCAAGAAAAATATATTATTCAACAAAAATAAAAATTGGAAACTCAAAAATCCTGCAAAAAAAGAAAAATAATAATTAAATAATAATAATAATAATAATAATAACAAAGCGAAAAAAAAATAATAATAACGATCTTGTTACATAACAAAGAAAAAACCATTATCAACATCATTACTATTATTCTCAATCTTATTTTCTGTTTTCTTATTAAAAGTAAAATTGTCCACATTGGTTCTAATATAAGTCAAATTGTCTTGATTTTGAATACAAATGTCACCATTCTTGTTTTTTTATGGTAATTGCGGCTGCCCAATTCCTTTTCGCACGATTAATTTCTCCATTTGATAAAGAAGTATTTTTCGATATTCTCTTTTCATTAATTGAAACACCACCACTTAAAGCACGAACTAAATTAATAAATAACCTCTTTTCTTCTTCAGTGATTGCCCATTGACTACTGTCATCATCTTTCTCATATGGTTTTTGCCATCCTAGTTGACGAAGAAATTTTTCTTCACGTTCTAGTGAGGTGGAAACAGGTGATTGGGGCACTGAGTTGGAATTTTCGAGGTTATCATCATTAATTTGATTATACTCAATTGATGATGATGATCCTATATCATTAATTTGTTCGGTCAAAAAATCTTTAACAATACAAGATTTTGAAATATTGGTGGTGGTGGTCATTGTTGTTGTTGTTGTTGTTGTTGTTGTTGTTGATAATTTATTCGATTTATCTAATTTAGAATTTTCTTTTTTTTCTATATTGTTATTATTTTTTTTGATATTTTTGGTATTTTTATTATTATTGTTATTTTCTAAATTATCTAAATCTTTAAAATCTTTATTATCTTCAACTTGATGATAATGATTATTATTATTATTATCATCACAATTTAAGATATCTTCCTCATCTTCTGAAAGTATTTTAAAATGTCCCATTTTACCCATTGTAAGATTACTACTCCAATTATATTTAGGATTATTACCAACACTCAACCTTCTACTACTTAGACCTGAAACAACGCGTAAAGGCGCTGCTGCTGTTGTCGCTGTCGTCGTTGTTGTTGTTGAATTCTTTTTTATCCCATTATTTGATGTTGAAATAGATGCTGCACGTTGTCTTTGAGGTTGAATGTTAATAGGTTTCGAACCTACCGTTTCTCTTAAATAAGGTCTAAAATGTTGTGACTGTCCATTTGTACGTCCACCACCACCACCACCACTACTACCACCATTACTATTTGAAATACCAACACCAATACCGAATCCAATACCAGAATTAATTGTTGTGGTTGAAACTCGAGCAACACTATCCATAGATAATGATCTACTAGTTTTACGTTTCATTGATTGTTTTATTATAGTTCGTTTGCCATCTAATTTTCCACTTTCGACTTTAGGAACCAAAGACATTCGCCTTTCAAGTTCCGGTTCATTATCTATATTGTTATTATTTAATTTAGTCGAATCCTCTGGTAAATGATTATAAGTAGTTGGTGAAAGAAGTTTTGATTTTATATCGGAATTTGCTGAATAGATATATTTATATTTGCATATAAAAGAGTGTTTAATTAAATAATTCTGATAATTTTAAAAATTTAATATCTTGATTACATTACTCAAGAATATAGAAAAAAAAAAAAAAAAAAACTGCTTACCCCACATATTATCAACATTTTTTGCCGGGAGGTCAACGGATAGTGAAATTTGTTTATTTTTGGCTAAAGTGGGCTATTAATAATCAATTAATAAAAAATTAATCAAAAAAATTAATAATCAAATTAAATAAAAGGAAAATAAATTACTCACAAAATTTCGATCGAAACTTGTCGGAGACGACGAAATATTGGGGTTGGCTTGAGATACAGAACGTGCCCGTCCATGGATTGCTTTTAGGGTTTCCTATATAAATTTAATGTAAATATAATATAAATTTAATGTAAATATAATATAAATTTAATGTAAATATGAACATAATAAGTGTAATTATATAAATTGTTCGTATAATAACCTCATTTGACTCCGTCTCTTCCAAAGTCGTCAAAAGAGAGAAATCTCGTGACTTCGGGCGAGTTGACGTCGACGACGTTCGTGGGGTTGGGCTACTTAGAGAAGAATTGCTATCTGATAATATATATCATAAATAAATTCACGAATTTCGGAACACAAAAGAAAAAGAAAAAAATCAAAAAAAAAGGAGAAAAAGAAAAAGAAATGAGACAAGACCGAGTTTTTATGAATTATTCCATAAAAGGAAAGCCAGACCAAAAAAAAACCTAAAAAAATATTTTGAAACGAGATTCAACCACTAACAAAAAAAAAATAATAATAATAACTGATCTACTTTATGATAAATTTTTCCCGAAATAAAAAACTCTCTCACCTTTTACCATATTATCTCTAACCTGCTTAATAACCCCTAACCCATCCCTATTTTTTGAACCAACCACCACCACTTCTTCCTCGTTGGTCTCGTTGTTTGTATTAGAATTACCTTCAATCGTTGATACGTGTGCTGGACTTAAGATAGTTGTTGCGGGACCAGTTTTATTATTTAGATTCGTTAACCAACTAGGTGCAAATATATAAGAAGATGCTGAAGTTGCCCTCTTTTGTCGAGTGATAACTGGTTTTGTAGGTGTAGAAATATTTATGGGTTTAGGAGTTGAATTCGTATTATTATTATTGTTGTTGATGTTATTCGAAGTTGTTGTTGTAATTGTTAAATTTGACTTTGAATTTGTAGTATTATTAGAAGGCATGGTATATTGTAGAGAGGTATGAGGAGGCATAGTATATTAAAAAAAAAAAAGAAGAAAAAAAAAAAAAAAAAATTTTTTTTGGATGCTAATCTATTCCCTACTCTTCTTTGAAAAAATCCCTGTCCCAGACTTGGGGGTTTTCTTGCCGTTTGTGTATTTTGGATCCGATGTTAACAAGATTTTTTTTTTTTTTTAATAAGAAATTGAAAAGTTTTAAGAAACAGTAAGTTAATCATTCCGCCACATAAAAATTTTTGGGGTTTAAACCTTGAAATATTTGATAAACCCCAAAATTCTTCCATGTCGAAGTTCATTTTACCGAACCATCATTACACAAAAATTATTAAAAATATTAAAAATATTAAACCTATTAAAATCTTATTTGTCAAAAAAAAAGATAAATAAATAAATAAAAAATAAAATAAAAAAATAGATGATACTTTAACGCCAAGTTTTCCCATCTTAGGAATAGAGGGTTTTGACACTCGAATGAATTATTGAAACATTCCTGATTTTTTATGCTTGGAGAATTGTTAAAAATCAATAATCATACATAATATTATTCATGTATTATTATTGTTTTACATTTTATCCAATAAAGTAAAAAGAAAAAGTTTTGAATCGAAAAAATATTAATTAAAGGGACGAATTTTTTTTGTCAAGTCATCAAAATTTAATTATTATCATATTAAAGAATTTAAATGTTTACACTTTACTTTATAGACTTGATGTCAAATTACAAAAAAAAAAAATTCCTTATTTAATTTTTTAATTAGTGTTTTTTTTTTTCTCTTTTTCTTTCTTTCACAAATTTATCCAAGGACGGAATTACATAATCTTACACAATTAATGGCTACCTAGATGTTTACGTAAAAAGATTGTGATTCTTGTATAGCTGTTTAATTTTTTACGATCACATGCCATATTTTTAGTACTGCTTATATCTATTACATCTATCTTCAAGAATGATATCTGAATTTTGGATCTCGTAAAGATCTCAAACAAAAAAAAAAACCCCAAATCTTTTATGATTAAAACTTTTTTTTAAAAAATAATAACTAGAGCTTTTTAGTAGAAAATCATTTCAAATCAATTTGAATTAAATATTAAGATCTTTACAGTGAACACAGGTGTACTGAAAAGAAATTCTGATTTTAACTGATTTATAATTTAGGATGCAATAGGACGGTCAATTTTTAGTTGGTCTATAATATAGGAATCACCATTTGGTACAGTATAAAGTTTATTAGACATATCAGTTTTTCCATTCTTTTATATATTCATTATTAGAGTCAAGTTATAAGCTTCATGCAATTTCTACAGCTTACCTACTTTGCATATAGTTACAGTTTACTCTACTTACATTTAGACTTCATTAATAATATATTTTATTTTATTTATGTTTACAAGTTCTTTGACTCAGAGATGACAAATGACTAAATGGCTAGATCATTTAAAAATTATACAAAATCATTTAAATAACCAATAAAAAATCGAATTAGAAATTACTTAAATAAGAATATCAACACAAGAATTTCATCAAGAATTTTAATAGGCAATAATTGCATTTTTTTTCACAATTTGCAAAGTGCAGAGTGACTTTCTACTAAAATATCTCTTAAATAGAAGGAAAGGTCTTGTTCTTGGCTACAAATGATATATATTTCATCTCAATACATCGATATTCACGGAATTATTCACATTTAAAATTCGAGCGTATGTGAAAAATTTCTGCCACAAATTTTCCGTAATTCTGACCAGAATTATGAAAAATTTATGTCAGAAATAATGATTATCTTTTTTTTGTTTATAAAAATGGCACATTGCGCACATAAAAGACCAAATCATTCAAACATAACTGAAAAAAAAGATATCAATGGAATTCTCGAGAAAAGATTGCTATTATTATGTATTATAAAAAGGTAACAGTAAAAAAAAAAAACGGTAAATAAGTTTAATATTGAAACAAAACAACTTCAAAACTGGATATCTAAAAAGTCAGAGCTTTTATGAGTGTAAAAAAGTTTGTGCTTCCCTAAAATATCCTGAACTAGAAAATGCAATTGTTGGGTTGATCAAAGAACGAAAAAATAATTAAAATTTAGTATTACGAAATATGATTCAAATGAAAGATAGAACGCTTGCGCAACAACATCAATGGCAAATTAAATACCCAGGAATCGAATCATTTGTTTTTAATAATAAATGGGTAGATTGTTTGATGAGCCGTAACAATTTGAGCAATCGTCGCCGTATAACTATTGCACAACTATTGCCAGATGATTTAATTGAGCAGCAACAAGAATTTTTGGCATTTATTACATATATACGTATACAACATGATTATCCGTTAACTTTGGTTGGTAATATCCAATGACATTTGATTTTCAAGTTATACAACAATTGAAGAAACTGGTGCACGTACTGTTAGTATTCGAACAACAGGACATGAAAAAACAAATTTTACAATAGTTTTAAATGCATGGCAGATGGGCTAAATTACCATCTGTTGTTATTTTTAAATTTTAAAAAATTTTTCGCGAAGAAACCAATCCATCAGGATGGATAAATGAAAGTGAAATATTTTATTGGATTGAAAATGCCGAGTTAAACGTGCGCCGCTTTTTAATCCACAATCATTACTTATTTTGGATTTGTATATTGTTGATTCTGTTAAACGTCGTTTTGTTGAAAAAAAAAACAAATATTGTAGTGAATAATTAGTTCCACTAATTCTCAACTTCTAGCTAGAAATGCTTATCTGTACCTTTTCATTATCACACTCTTCGTTTCTTCTCTTTGACACGCTTTTTTTAGATAAATTAAAATTTCCACCACTAATATTTCCAGAGTTTCCCATCAAAGGATGAACTGAGGGTCGTTCAATAACACTAGCTGATTCACATTCACGTTTCCATTTTCGCGTTTATTGATATTCAGGTCGGGAACCCTAAAGAAGAAACATAATCGATCAATAATGTTCTTTAACTGGTGTGTTGATTTGCAATCTCATCCACCAGGTCAGCGAGTAGCCTTGCATCAGGCAACCGAGAAAGTCCCTGATCCCTTGGGGGACCAATATTGGGTCGGAGAGTAGCCTTGAACATCAAAAAACAGAATAAGTCTCTGTGCCCCAACATTAATTTTATGGCTCAGCGAATAGCCTTGAATGACAAGAACCGAGAAAGCCCTTACCACGCCACTATTTACAACATATAATTTTGACAAACAAATATACTCGCCTTTCTGTAAGTAGTTTTGCTTTTGCCCATTTCTTTTTCGTTGCTTTCATTATTATCAACAATAATTTCGAGAGATTTGAGATAAAAATCTATCTTACTATCAAAATCTTCTGCATCAACTTCTTTAAGAAAACTTGTAACGTTCCATTCTGAAGGATCGCGTTTAAAATATTCTTGTGAAGTTTTTAATTATTATAAATAATAAATAATAAATAAAAATGACTGATGAATGCAGTTATGTACATCATTAAACATATAAAGAAATTTTTTTTTAAAAAAAGGAATAAAGTCCGTGACACCAACACAATAAAAATAAAAGGCAATAATATTTTTTTCAATAAGACCCTAAAATCTATTATACTTTAATAATAATAATATTTAATTTGAAACCAGATTATTATATTTTTTTTTTATATCGCACATAAATAATCACATCTATTTGTTTCAGAAAATTTTATTTTTCATATAGTAAAGCAATTATGTATTATTAATTATATTTTATGCAGTCACATATATATATATGATACAATTTTATCCTTTTATCCCCGACTTTTTTTATTTATTGATTTATTTATTTTATTATTTAAATACTTTACCATCCGCAAATTTCTTACCACGAATAGTATTATCCCAAGCCTAATTAATTAATTAATAATGATTTGAAATTTTTGAATATAATTCTTATAATAATAATAATAAATAAACAAAATATAATATAAAATAAAAATATGTTAAATTTTTTCCTTTTTCTTACCAGAAATGATTCAAATTCAGCACGAACAGCGGTATCAGTGTGATCTACCTTCTTGAAATCAAATACCTCAAAATCTGCTGCGTCACTTACTGTTTATTTCAACATATAAAATACATACATATATATATATATATGTTATTTAATAATAATAATAAAAAATGGATTATTAAACAAAGTGTAACAATAAAATCCGAAAATACCTTCTTCTGGTATTTCCTGACCACGAATAACAAAATATCCCGCAATTTCATTATTTTTGTCTAAATATAATAATAAAATAAGAATTTTATGAATTTCATTAAATATACGTTCGAGGAAAAGGAAAAAAAGGGGGATTCAAATCATTTTTAGGTAAACAAGACAAGAATATGAACATACCTTCTCCCAAAACTACCAAACTTCCAAAAGCATATTTACGAGCACGATCTAATCGATTATAAAAACCTCCAATCAAGTTACTACTCATAAAAACTTTGTCCAATTCACTATTGTATTTGTAATCCACACTCCAGATCGAATATCCTTCCGGATCATAATGTTTCCAGAACCAATCGATAGCGTCTGGGCGAGTTTCATTATTAGAATAAAAGCGTTTCCATTCTTCCAAATTCAAAGGACTCGGAGGCAACATTTCTAATTTACTCTTTGGCTTTGGTTCAGGTTTCTCTTCTTCCTCCTCATCTTCTGGTTTCTGATCTTTTTTGGGTTGCTCTTTTTTAGGTTCTTTTTTGGGTTGTTCTTTTTTCTCCTTTTTTGGAGCTATTAATTTTTGATTTGATTTGATTATTTTGATTTTTTTTTTTTTTTTAATAATATTAATATTCTGATTTAAAAATAAATAATAATTTTTTTTTTTTTTTTTTTTTTTTAAAAAAAGAAAAAAACCGGAAAGAAATAATTCTAACACATACGAGTATAAGTAACTGCAACTTCAGCAAGAGTAACATCAGGTAAGATCTTTTTGAAAGCGGGTTGGTTAATAAGTGTGACATACCATCGGGTAAGATTCTTATAATTTTTTCGAAATTCTGCATCCAAAACCAACTTGAAAGGTAAATAAAGAGCTGTGGCGACAGTAATATCGGCTAATGTGATACGTTCACCAACTAAATAAGTCTTTTTTAATAAAACCTTTTCCAATACATTGAGAGATTTTTTAAGACCCTCAACTGCTTGGTTATGAGCCTTTTTTTAAATAAATATATATATATATATTATTTTTTTATTAGAAGAAATTTTTTTAAATAAAAATAAATAAACCAATTTCTTTAGTAAATCTATTTAAAAAAAATTGTAAAATACCGATTTATTATAACTTGTTATTCCTAAAATCGGATTGATCCAAGTATTGGCATTAGGAGTGATTTCATTTTCACTGAATAAAATGTATTGAAGTACTTGAGAGGTTTCCTTTTTATCTTTGCCTAAAAGTTGAGTGCCTTCTTTGTGAGAGGAAACTAAATGAAATATAATTTGAAATTTAATTGATGTGATATAATACAATTGATGTGTGATATAATGCAATTAATTAATTTAATTAATTCCTAAAATTTTTTTTTTAAAATCCATTAATTAAAGTTAACATTTTCTTGCTTTTTCAGAAAAAAAAATTTTTTGTCAATCATTGAATAATTCAGCCAGGGATAACTGTTTATTAAAATATCTCATCAAGAATAGCAAGAAGGAACATTCGACCGTCATAAAAACAACAATCAATCAATCGATCAATTCAACGTAATCACAAAAATATTCTCACCGTAATATGCGATTGCTCCGGATTCATTTAAAGTACAACCGTCGGCACCTTCAAATGCAGGAACCTATAAATAAAAAGGATATTATAATAAAATTAAATAAAAAAATTAAGAATTAGATATATGTATTAGATAAAATTAAATAAATTAAATTAAATTAAAAAGATTCAGATAAAAATTTTTTTCTTTTGATTCATACTTTTTCATAATGAAATTTTTCCAAATATTCGGGTTTTTTGCTATCCGTACCAAATTCGAACTCTGCTACCTCAACTTCAAGATTATTGTATTCGGCAGCAATAAGAATTTTGTAGACACGAGGATTATTGGGATAACAATAAATTTTCTATAAAATTAGAGAGAAAATCAAAAGTTGTCAAGTTATAATTTATATATATATATATATATTATACATATTTTCTTTTTTATTAATTTGAATGACGCATGTTTTACATTTCTTTATGTTTCAGATTTGTTAAATCTTATAAATCTTTTAATAATGTAAAGAATTAATTAATTGCAAAAAAAAAAAAAATTTTTTTTTTTCAAGTCTAAAGTATTAATCAAATTCTTAATCAAGAATATTGACAAAGAATGACTAAGAATTTTTTAATAACAAACGAAATAAATCTTTTCTGACTTAAGTTATAATAAGACTTACTCCGATGGATGCCATAGCTTTCCAAGAATTTGTAAAATTCAAACAATAGAAAAGGTCAAAAGGGACAATTTTTTTTAAGTATTATCAAACTCATTGGATCAAGAAAATTAAGATTAAGATATTAAAGCCACTCCCAGCCACAGTGCGAGTCACTTTCTGTCACTCATCTATAAATAAAATAAAGTTTTACCAAAAGAATAAATATCTTGTTGTTGTAAAGAATTAATTTAATTTAATTTCCTTTTTAGCGTATCAGAAATGGGAAATTATTCGTTTCAGTTGTTTAATAAATTTTAATAAATTAGAAAAAAAGATTTCATTTTTCATATCCCAGATATTATTTTCTCCTCCTTTTCCTTGGTTACTTAATAAAAAAAAATCTTCTGTCTGGTACAGAAATAATAATATAATATAATATTACAAAGAAATTTTTTTCAAAAACATTAAAAATATTAAAAAAAAAAATGGGTAAATTAATTTGGAGTCAATGGGCAAAGTTGATTGCATTTACTGCAGGTTTTTGTAAGTATTTTAAAGTGTTTATAAGTAGAATTACAAAAAAAAAAAAAAATGAATAAACCATTTCTTCGGGATACTTGTATCTTTAATTTTATGTATTAATTTTTTATTTTTTTTTTTTTAATAATTAGTTGAAACAATAGGTGGAATATTTGGTATATTTTATCGAATTTCTATGGCTCAGCCTATAACAACGTAAGTTTAGTAAATTTGGCTTCATTTGGGTTTCCCTTTTTTTTTTTTTTAATTATCTTTCTAATTATTATTATTATTTTAATAGTGCTCTTGATCCTATATTTAACCCTGTGAACATAGCATCCATAATTTGCATGTAAGAGATTTATAAATTTTTTTTTCATTTTTAAATTAATTATTAATAATATTTTTTTTTTTATACTGTTTTTCATATTCACAATTAATTAATTAATTAATTATTATTATTATTTATTATTATTTAACAAGTCCTCTCGGAATGTTAGTGGTGGCAATAGAATATCCTTTCTTCCCTTTTAAAGATACTTTCATGGCAACTAAATATATTCCTCGGATTATTTTATACCTTTTGATTAGTGCCTTTTCTATTTTAAATTATCAAAATGTTAATCCGGCTTTATATTTATTGATTGCTAGCTTTATGTACATAATGGCAATCGTGAAAGGTGAAGAACGTGCTTTACGAACTCAAGCGAAACAAAATGGAATGAGAAGGAAAATGGGGGCTTGATTATTATGTTAATGTCATAATGTCACACGTGAAAAAGTTTAAGAAAGAAAATTATATTATTTATTATAAAGAAAAATTAAATTCTTCATTTTTACTATTATTTTAATAATTTAAAAGAATAAGGAACGTAAATAACATTAAATAATAACATTAAATAAAATAAATAAATAAAATCTAAAAAAAAAAATAAATATGCAATGGGATAATACATAAAAAAATGGAAAATTAATTATATTAAATTTGTTCGCTCTTTTCATCTAATTGAGGTCTTGACCATAATCTTATATGACCTTTTCTGCAAGTGGTTATAATTGAATCTTCACGAAAAGTTATTGAACATAATGATTCGTTATCGATTGATTTTGACTAAAAATATAAATTCAAATATTTATTATTATTATTTTTTTTTATATTAATAATAAATTTTATAAAATATAAAAAAAAAAATAAATTTGAGATTTTTAATTGTTTATTTACCATTACAGGCTGTAAAATTGCGACTTCAGATCTAGGCAAACAAAGATGTGATGTATTCTTTAAATTTTCGTTTCGTCTCGAAACAAGATTAGTTGTATGTGATTGTGATGCTAAACTAGCTCTTCTATGACTTCCTGGCTAATTAAGTTAAAAAAAAAAAATGAGAAAAATGGGTTAAATTACTAATTTATAATAACAATAACAAAAATAATAATAATATAACAATAACGATAACGACAATAATAATAATAATAATAAATAATAAATAAAAAACATACGCTCTTGGGTTTATGTAACGCGTTTACACTGAAATCCCATAACAATAATTTTGTATCTTCACCAACTGATCCAAAACGATAATTACGTTCATCACATCGCCAAGGATCAAAAGATACAGCGGTAACCCAAGATTGATGTCCTTGACAACGTGCGACAATTCGTTGTTCACGAAAAGCCCATATGGTAACCAAATCATCTTGACCACCTGTTAATATATATCGACCATCCGGACTCCAACAAACACACGAAAATCCACCAAAATAACTACGATATGTATCAAATAATCTATTTACACAATAATACCAATTAAAAAATAATTAAATGATATATAAAATATATTTCATTGTTAATATTTCATAATAAATAAATGAGATTATTTTAATCAACTCACGTTTCTTTTACGAAATCTATGATTCGTAAACAACCTTCCATTGAAACGATTGCCACATGTTGGCAATCGGGTGAAAATGCAAATGCTGAATGATAACAAAAAAATAAATAAATAAAAGGCTTATTAATTTGATCAAAGATATTAAGATATTAATATTATTAATAATAATATTTTAAGAAAGATTTTAAATATAAATTTACCTGTTATCGCTTTCTTGGAAACTTGCCAATAAGAAACTGGATTATGTTTTGTATTCTTTGATGGTTTTGTTACTCGAAATCTTTATTATTATTATTAATGTTGTTGTTGTTGTTTAATTTATTCAATAGTAAATATTTTATTGTAAAATGTTATTATGTATGCAAATAATATTTTCATTAAATTAAAAATGTCAATTATATAACTTTTAATATATTACCAACTCACCCTTCATCCTCACTTCCGGTTGTTGTCGTGGGTGTAAAACTTTGATCATCTTTATCTTTATCATATGTAACTATTGATCCATCCTGATGTGATACCATAAATAAATGATCAGATCCTGGCATCCATTTCATCATAGTCACCGCAGAACTATTTATTAATCCCTAATATTTATATATTTATTTATTTATTTATTTATATAAGAATTATCATAAATAAATCAAAGAAATAATTATAATAATAATAATAAAGATACCTGGTTTATATACCTGTTTATTTAATCGATTATATTTATTACAGAATGGGTCAACCCACATAACATCACCAGATGAAAATCCAATAATCACATCCAAATGATCACAAGAACGAGTAAGCTGATTAACATCGTGACATATTGGATGCTTGGTAAAATTAAATTTAGATAATGGATCCTGAATAAAAAAAAAATTATTTATTATTATTATTCTTATTAATTATTATTATTATTATTATTATTATTATTATTATTATTATTATTATTATTCTGAACCAAATTAAAATCTAACCTTTTTTTAATTAAATCTAAAAAACTTATTTTTTAATTAAAATTTTAATTTTAATGCAAATAGTACCTTTGGATTAGTGAGATCTACCCAAAATAATGTTCTTCCCGCGTTAAAAAATAAATATGTATCTTCACATTGTCGATTTGCCAAAATTTTCGTTAAATTATCACTTTGAACTATTTTAGAAACAAGTGATGAATTGGTAATATTTCCTTTCGGTTTTTTCCTTTTCATTACTGAATAAAAACCGGAAAACATATCATCATCTTTTTTCCCTTCAATTGATGTGGGAACTGTTCCGTTAGTATTATTATTATTACTATTACTATTATTACTGTTAGGTGGCTTTAATGTCAAAGATGGTGTTTCCCAAGTTGGTGATAAAGGTTCAGAATAGTGTTGTTGTGGTTGTAACCTTTCTGAATCTAAAGAGTCTTCCGTTTCAACGACTAAAGTACTTTCTGTTGCTGAAGTAGGTCGAATATCAAGTTGTTGTTCACCTACACCTCGGTCTCCACCACTACTACTATTACCATCAGCGTTAGGTGAGTTTTGATAAGTGGAATACTCTTTATATTTCACGGAAACTGTAGAAACCAGTGTTCCACTCATGGAATTTGGCATCGAAGTTTCTATATAAATGTCATCTTTTAATGTATATTGTCCTTCTGAAGCCGTAAAATCTTTACAGTCAAGTGTTGAAGTTGTCATTTTAAATTTTAAATTCAATCAGTTAAATTTTTGTTTACAACATAAGTATCTGTACTTTATTATAGCTTGTGAAACTTACAACTTCCTAATCCAATTTTTTTTTTTTTTGATTTAGATTAATTAAATAATTATTTGGTGTGAAAAGGTAATGTGTGGAGTACTAGAGTAGAAGACAGTTAAAACTTTTTTTGGCAATTGATTGTACATTGTAATGTATGTGATGTATGTTATGTAAAATTATGTACTTTATATTTTTTTTTTGATTCAAGGGTCTGGCACCCTATATAAATAATTTTTTAAAGTATCTAACACGTGATAAATACAAAGTATACCAATGTCTCGTCAAACTAGATCCTGAGAAACCCCTCGGATTTTACCGATAATATTAGTGAATCTAGATGGAAAGACATACTTGCACTTAATATTCACTTCAAAAATGATTCCAGTGGAATATTTGAAGATACCCAAAATGGTTCAGTCTTCTCTTGAGAAATGTGCACAAGAATCAGCTTCTTGATGTTTGGAATGACGAATCCATTACCGAAGACTGGAATAAAAAAAGAACGAACGCTAGCTGGATATATATCAAATGTATTAATGAAAGAACTTGCAGATGCAAAAAAGCGTGAGAGAGTTACTGACTCATTTGTCAACTATCTTTTAGGAATTCTAGAATTTAATGACTATCCGTTTTCCCTGAAACTGAAGGCAGATTATAATTTCAGGGTACATAATAAAGCTGTGAATTCGGAAACTGACTTTTCTATATGGAAGGATCATCATCTATTTGTGATAATTGATGAAGACAAGCACATACTGTACATAACGTTTACAGAAATACTCGGTGGGGGCGAATACCAAATAGCTGGTGAATTGTTAGCTGCGGCATGTGTAAACCACGAGGAAATACGAATAGTCAATCATTATTTGCATTACGTGTAATTGGGACACGGTTTACATTTATAAGGCTACAATTGACTTTGATTATCTCGATAGTTTTTCTGAGGGATTTCCGACTGATGAAATGAATATATTCGGGTATCCAACGTGAGATAATTAAGGTTACATTCCATGTCTTGATTATACAAATCCTTATCAGAGAAAACAGATCTTAGAAATTATGATAAAGGTAAAAAACTTCGTGATTGAAAATAAATCAATTACACGATAGTTACCAATGATTGGTGTTCACATTATTATTTTTTTTTAATAGTAATTATTATTAAAATGTAGGTGATTTGAATAAAACTATATATAAGAAAGTTCCAATCAATTTTTTTTTTTTTGATATATTTAATAATTTATGATGCACGGAAAGTCAAATCGTTGTGCTAAATTTGGCAAAGAATTTTGAACAGAAATTTGATCTCGTACATTTGTTGGGAGGAACAACCTTCCCTTTTGTTAAATCGACCCACATAATATTGGATCCGTAACTTGCATGATCAAAATTTTAGCAACGGCCCGTCGTCAAAATCACAATAAAAAAAAATAATTTGTACTCGAATTCTTTATTAATATATACACGGACCATAATAAAATATATGATGTAAAAAGTGCGAAATCTTTGAAATTAAAATATTTTTGAAAATTGTTTATATACATTCAGAAAAATTAAATAGTTTCATGTAACTTTACTGTGATATTGATAAATAATGTTTTTTTATTCATATGATTTGTATGTCATTTGATGTATAAATTGATTAAAGAGTGTAGACCCTGAAATATTATAGGCCTCCTCATATCTTGTGACTTGAGTAAAATAAAAGTTCATTTTCTTTATTTCTTTTTTTTTTCTAAAAATATATACATATATATAATTCCTAAATTGAAGAATAGTATAGAAATTTCAATTCATGCATCAAAAATTGTTGTTTTTTTCCGCCTTACACGCATAATGTATCAACCTTCGCTTTTGTTTTTGAAGATTTCCATAAATGGAAAATATAACGGTAATCATAATCAAATGAAAAAATATTAAAAAGAGGAATCTCCAATTTAGAAAATAAACTTATGATTTTTAATGTACATCTTAAAAAATATGATATGTATTTATTCTTATATTGTATTGTATACAAAGGTCAAAAAAAAAAAATAAATTAAAGTGAAATAAAATAATATGCAACTATATACATCAAATAAATAATCTGCTACTATATTCATCTATAAACATCAAATAATGAATTTTTTCCCGTTTTTCCTATTATATTAATAATTTTAAAACACTTACATTATTACATTAGAATCGTTTCTTGGTTTCCAATTCGCGTTAGGAAATCTACAAATAAAGAGACGACGCACAGGTGTAGGCCTATACGCCGTCATTAACATAAAACAAACAAATAGAATAAATAAAATAAATAGAAAAAACCCACCTCACATCTAAATCTTCAAATCTACTAAATCTTCTAAAGTTTCTTTCTTCCAAACCTACCTCAAATATTGTCGTCCTAATAGATGTGAAAAAGAAAAAAAAAATTAAAGATTAATAAAAACTCAGATAAGGAATAAGGAAAAAACGGGAAAATGAAGAAAAAGTGAGAAAATGAGATTAAGAAAAAAAAAAAGAAACGGAAAAAAGTGAGATTTAAATACCTTTTTTTCAGGAGAAAAAAAAACTGATATCGATTTCTATAGTCATATGTTGCATATGCTGATCTGTAATTAAGATAACTGATTTGAAATTTCGAGTTTTAAACTCAGATTATCTCATACAAATTTCCTTTTTTGAAAAACAATCGAAAAGATTTGAAAAGATTTGAAAAGTTTCTGGGTTCTAAAAGTTTCGATGACATAATTAAGACAATATAATTAAGATTATAATACTGATCAAATAAATTCCTCAGCTATTTTGCTTTCTCCCCACTTCACTTTTTCTGTCCTAACTTTTCTTTTTTCATGTTTTCCGCTTTTCTAATTTCAAGTTTACTTTTATTATTATTATTAAAGATTATTAAAGAATATTAAAGAATAAAAATATTAACCTTTTTTTTTTTTTTTTTTTTTCCACATCTTATTAGACGACGATATTTGAGGTAGGTTTGGAAGAAAGAAACTTTAGAAGATTTAGAAGATTTGAAGATTTAGATGTGAGGT